GTGCTGAGGAAAGATTACTTTACACCTAATATTCCAAACAATCATTGAAGGGGGAAAAAATAACATTAATTTTCATACTGCCAAGAAATTATATAGAGAAGTGGGCTTTCCCTTTATTTAAGGACACATAAATGGGAACACATGGAATTCAATGCAGGGAGAGAAAGAAAAGAAACCAGTGAAAATTAGGGCAGGCTTCTTGGAGGAGGCAGGGATCTGAAAAGTGAGTTCGATTTTGCTATGCCAAGTTCAGTTCAAAAAACAGCCCTGAGAATCTTCTATGGGAAGCAGGTAGGGGACTGGAAGCTGGGTTAAGGAAGGCCATTCATGCCAGAGAGAGTAGGAGAGGTAAGGGCCAGCATGAAAGGTAAGGGCTCAGGAAAGTAGTGGAAATAAGGCCGAACAGCAACAGTGGGAGGGACAACTCTCGAACATACAAAGGGAACAGGCGGGTGTTTCTTGTCAGATGAGGTTGCAATAGTCTGAACAACCCAAATCTGAAGACCTGAAATGCTTTATCCAAAATCTGAAACTTTCTTTCTTTTTTTTTTTTTTTTTTGGTTTTTGGAGACAGGGTCTTACTATGTTGTTCAGACTAACCTGGAACTCACTAAATAGCCCAGGCTGGTCTCGAACTCACAGTGATCCTCCTGCCTCAGCCTCCCGAGTGCTGGGATTACAGGCAAGCGCCACCACACCTGGCGCAAAATCTGAAACTTTCTTTCTTTTTTTTTTTTTTTGGTTTTTGGAGACAGGGTCTTACTATGTTGTTCAGACTAACCTGGAACTCACTAAATAGCCCAGGCTGGTCTCGAACTCACAGTGATCCTCCTGCCTCAGCCTCCCGAGTGCGGGGATTACAGGCAAGCGCCACCACACCTGGCGCAAAATCTGAAACTTTCTTTCTTTTTTTTTTTTTTTGGTTTTTGGAGACAGGGTCTTACTATGTTGTTCAGACTAACCTGGAACTCACTAAATAGCCCAGGCTGGTCTCGAACTCACAGTGATCCTCCTGCCTCAGCCTCCCGAGTGCTGGGATTACAGGCAAGCGCCACCACACCTGGCTCAAAATCTGAAACTTTCTGAGTGCCAAGATGATGCCAGAAGTAGAAAATTTTATGTTTTCCATTATTAAGAAAATAGATGAGACAATGCTTAATACATGTGAACTGTTATGTTTTTGATTTTCATCTTACTAGAATACATATGACTCACAAAAGAAACCCCCCAGCTAGGGAAGCGATACAAATACGAGTTTGCACCAAGACCTGACTGATAAGCAGGGATTAGACATAGATGAGGAGCAGCCCGGGGGGTTCTTCCTGCAGAGCTCCACTTGAGCAGCTTCTGTCCTCAGGGACCCACTACCTAATGGGATGATTTTATTAATTCAACAAATGTTTAGCGAGAATCTGCTACAAGTCAGGCTTGGTGCTGGAGATAGTACTGTGAAAAACACAGACAAAATCCCTAGTCCCAGTGAGTTTATGTTGTAGATACACAATAAACCACACACCTACCCATCCAATCATAAACCTACCCAACTAACAAATTAATGGAAGGCCCTGAAGCTGGAGTCAGACTCTGGGAAGCCACAGGAGGAAGTGCTAGTTGCAAAGGTGGCTGTGAAAGGAACCCCAAAGTGATGACAGGGAGGCCCACTGAGCTGGAGGCAAGGGTCTTGCAAACAGGGGATCCTTGCTGGGATAGAGAACCAGCCTGAGAGTAGATTCAAACCTGACACTAGAACCTGGGGGCATGGATTCTATTATGAACTGTACAAACAGAAACAATGTGAGTACAGCTATTGTACCTTTACTTGTCTTGTTTCCTCACCCACAGAATGGGGCAGTATATTTAATGCCATCAAATAGAGCTAAAAGGCGAACGGGGTAAAGGAGGTACAATACGGGGCCCAGGGACTTCTGCTTTGACTGTCTGGCAGCCGATCCTTCTGCTGGCAGCAGCCCACTTTTCCTTGGGCATCCCCGTCCCATTTGAGATTCAGGAACGGGAAGGTGAGGTGGGCGGCCAGAGCTCATGAGGCTCAATTCTGGGACCTCCACTAGAGGTACTGGGATTGGTGAGCAAAGAGATCACAAGCCTAGAGCTGCTGGGCCGCCCTCCTTGCTCCTGGCAAAAAGTCTGAATGAAAGCCAACTTATGAGAAACAGAAAGAGGAAGGTGTGTTGATATCACATGCATCTGAGTGACCGCCAGGTATGAAGGCAGATCTACCACACCTGCATTATGCATCAGGATGATGATGATGGTTTCTGCTCAGGCAGTGTGAGTACAGTGGCAGATAAGAGCAGGTTTCTATATTTTTAAAAACATGCTTTGAGAAGCTATGTGAACAACTACTCAAGTCCTGCCTCTGCGCCAGTCTCCTTTCCACCACCATCTCCTTTCTTCCTTGCTTTCAAAGTCAAGCTCTGTGAGCTCCCTACAGTGTTCCCACCTCTTCACCTCTCATTCTCTCTTCCAGTCCCTCCAGCGGTCTGCTTGATTCTCCCACCTCTTTAATGGACTGCTCTTGCAGTGACCAGCGACCTCCTTCTGTGTCATGAAGGCACTTTCATAGGCAGCGGACACTGTTGAATGCTCCTGCCTCCTGAAGTGCTCCACTGGTGCCTGCTTTCCCCTATTCTGACTCTTTCCAGACTAACCTGAACCTGCCTGACCAACCAATGCCAGCATCTCATGGCTTCTTCCCAGCCCTCTCATCCTCTCCTTTCTGGTTTCATCCACCTCCTCTATTAACCATTAATGGGGTGATTGTTTTTCAGCATCAGACATGACATCCAGATGCCCATCAGCAGCACTATCTGGCCGTTCCTCATGCCTAACACCAACTTTGTGGTCTTCTCCAATCTCTATTCCTACCCAGTCTTGCTGAGAAGACATTTTAAATATTACTCACATTTTTATATGTTATGCACTTTCTTAGTTACTTTTCACATTGCTGAGACAAAATACCCAATATCCAAAAGTTAAAGGGGGAAAGGTTTACTTAGCTCACAGTTTGTAGAAGTTTCAGTCCATAATTGGCTGGCTCCAAGGCAGAATGGCACGTAGCAGAGGGGCAACAGTTCACGAGAGAAGATAGCAAAACCAACAAGGGAACCTTAACAGTGTCTTTCTTTTATCTTATCCAGACTACTGGTATTAGGGTGGTACCAAACCAATCAGTGCACTGGTTTAGTAATCACACATCCTTAATCCCACCATCACACACTCTAGATCCAGCCACCTCTGAAAAGCCCTATGACCATATGAGGCTTTGGGGGGGATATATGGACACAAACCATAATAGACACTCAACAAGGTCCATAGGAATAATGATGCAGGGCATATTCTTTTAAACAGGTTAAGACACAACTCAGAATTTCCCCCAATTCTCTCCCTGTAGCCACTGATGCAAATAATAACAAAAGGATTGTTTTTTGGGGGGGTACCAGGGATTGAACTCCAGTGGAACCATTGAGCTAAATCCCCAAAAGGATTTCCTTTTCATGAAATATCAAGGTGCCTCAATGCCCCTGGAAGCAGAGTCAGAGGAGACTCTGACAGAGGTGACATCTATTTTCATGGACTCCAAGGACTCCGTGGCTAAAGAATGCCAAGCTAATCTTGGTTCTGGTACAGGAAGCTCAGGCCAGATAAGAGTATGGGCTGGTGCCACTAGCAATCTAGAGTAAGGGAAGGGAAGGGAAGAGAAGGAAGGAATGAAGGAGGAAGAAAGGGCTCCTAAAGAGGTGTTGGGGGGTGTCTAGTGATACCCGTGGTCCTGGGCTGTCACACACACTGGAGCTGTGTTGTTTAGAGGAACAAGGAGGGAATAGAACCCTGGCTTGTGCATGCTAGGTAAGCGCGCTTTAGGTTCTAAAACATCACCTTGCACACATATCCACAGTGGGTACTCTTATGAACACCGGTCTCATTCCTTGGTACCTATGGGGGACTGGTTCTAGAACCCTCATGAATACTAAAAGCCATGGATGCTCAAGTCCCTAACATAAAATGGTGTTATATTTACATAGGCCTACACACACCCTCCTGTTACTTACTTCTAGTGTAATACCCAAAACAATATAAATGGTGTGTAAATAGTTGCTATATTTTATTGAGGGAATCATGCAAGAAAAAAGCCTGATGTATTCAGTATACAGTTCTTTCCCTCAAATGTCTTCTATCTGTAGTGAGTTGGATCCTTACATGCATAACTGTCGAACACAGAGGACAGACCGTGCTTATTTGTTGCAGAGATGAAGAGATTAAATCTGTCTCCCAAGATGGTGTGGGCAGTGTTTGGCCTCCGTATACTCATGACACAGCGAAGGTGGAGTATTTATGACTGGCTCACCTACTTCTGCAAATGGTCTCAAGAACCACCTTCTTCAAAGGTTTCTAAGCCCCAGTCCCCGTGGCCATCCCATTACTTACAGACTTTCTTGAGAGCATGGGAAACACCTTCAAGCTTTAACTTCATGAAAGAGAAAAGAGAAATGCAAGAAGAGCAAGGATTTATGCTGGGCTTGATCCAGGGATCAGAGTAGACATGAAGAGGGAATAGGAAGAAAAGAAGCAAGAAAGGAGGCAGATGATTTAAAAAAAGGGAGAATACAGGCCAATTTCAAAGAAATGCATACTGTACAATTCCACGTATATCACAAGTCCAAAATCGGGGAAGCTAGAGGGGCAGAAGGATTGGGTGGCAGGGCTGAGGGGAAATGGGGGTGTCTGCTAATGGGTAAGAGGTTTCTTTTTGTTCTGGAATTAGACAGTTGCACCGGCTGTGTAACTCTGTGAATATAAGAAACCACTGAATTATTTTATACTTCAAATTGATATAATTGCTTGTAATGTGAATGGTATCTCACTGAAGCTGCTAACTTCTCCTCACCCTATCTTTCAAATGCAGTTGGTAAGGAGGGAAGCAGGAGGCGATGCCTATCATCAGGAATGACTAGCAGACAGGGGAAAGCAGGCGTGCTCACCTCAACCTTCAGACCGGCCTGGAAGCTGATGCCATCTGGGATGGTGGTCTGGAACTCGGCGATGGTATAATATTCTTCTTCCACTTGTGGCGGGACGGGAGGCTTCGGCAGGTTGAGACCTCGAGGCTAGTGTAATGAAAAAGAAGGCAAAAGCCTTACTGGGATGCTGAGTCAGGGCAGGACTAAGGGACCGCGGCACACAATCACCACAGACAGGGTGTTGGTGCATCCATTTGGATTCTAAGGGTTAAAACAAAGAGGACCTGACGTTCACCTCTGGAAGAGATCTCACTGGCCCTTCAACATTAGGGATGAGAAGAAACATGGGACATTTGGCTGCATTTTGAAAATATGGAGCAGGACTTTAGCACCTGAATTTAAGGTGCAGTGTGGGCTGTAGGAAGAACACAGATTTGCAAGTCACATCCATTTGACTGGAAATACAGATGATGGGTGTGACCTGGGCAAATCACCTCCCCCTGGAGAGCTCAGTTTTACCTCCTGTAGAATGGGCACAATAATAATACAGAGCTGGTATGCTTGCTCCAAGTATTAAATAATTTAATGCAGTGTATCTGATATACTACAAGGGACCCAATAGGTGCTCAATAAATGGTAGACAAAAGGAAGGGGGGGGCTGTTTTTCAAAGTGGAGGTTGAATAACCTAAAATTTATAGTTCTTAGGACCAGAAGGACTTTGCATTTTAAATAGTCGCACACACATATTAAGATATCCAAGGGAGGGGTTTCAAGTTTATATATGAAATTCATTTATATTTCATACATAGTACATAGCCTGCGACCTGTCAAGTGAGATCAGGGGTGGAATTTTCCACTTCTGGTGTCCAAACAGTGCTCAAAAAGTTTTGGATTTTGTAGCATTTTAGATTTTTGGATTAGAGATGTTCAACCTATGTTGGTTAAAAAGGTACCCAGAGGGGACGGGGATTTAGCTCAGCAGTTCAGTGGCCTGCCTTGCAAGCACAAGGACCCGAGTTCAATCCCCAGTACCCACCCCCAAAAAAAAGGTACCCAGAGGGGACGGGGATTTAGCTCAGCAGTTCAGTGGCCTGCCTTGCAAGCACAAGGACCCGAGTTCAATCCCCAGTACCCACCCCCAAAAAAAAGGTACCCAGAGAATTTAAAAAGGGAGTGTAATATAAATAACACCATAAATGATATTTGTGTCTCATTCAAACTTACCTATTGGGATGTCTGAATTGAGAAGACTGATTTAAAAGAAGTGGGCTCAGGGAGCAGAGAGCGGTCCTGAGGCCTAACCTATCACAAATATTCTTTGGAACATGAGTAAGGCATTTTACCAGCCTACATCCCAGTCTTTCTGCTTGTTAATGGGATTGGCTGCCACACAGCCAGCTTCACAAGGATGTTGCACAGAAGGAAAGAGAAAGAGCATCTCTGGAAAGTTCAAGGGCATGTGGCAGCCAATGGGCATCCCCGATGGCGCTCAGGTCAGGGGCCAGCTCCCCAGTAGCAAGCAAGGGTCCACTTACAATGGTCAAATCCCGACGAGGAGGGGGTCTCTGCCTCATCTTGGGTGATCCTGTGGAGAAACGAGACTTACTTCACTCATACGCAGTTCTACACATAAAATTCCTGATGTGGACACACGCCAGGAAAGGTTTTGTCTCTCCCTCAGAGGATGGAGCAGAACCCCTGCCCAGAAGACAGATCGCTGCTGTAGCCTTTCCTACAAGAAAAGTCTGAGCAGGAAGGAGCTGTGCATGCTTGGCTTAGGACCCTCTCTCAACATGGCTTTGCCGGGATCTTTTCTATGCCCAGACAAAAGGGGAGGGTGCCAAGTCCTTGAGCAGTGGAAAGCCTTCTTGTAGGGCAAAAGGCATAGGCTTCAGAATCACACAGAAAAGGATACCAACCCAGCTGTGAGGCTCAAGACTTCTGGCAAAGGACAAATGAACCAGATGACTGTGAGGCACAAGGCCCTCTCCTGTGGAGAAGCTAGTGATGGAGACGGAAGGCAGTTGTAAAGTTCTTGGCAAGTTACAGGCATGCAATCAATTTACTGTGCCTGGTTTTGTGCTCTAGAACAAGCTCCAACTAAACAACACATAAACAAATGGGATCAAACAGACCTGAGCTGACAAGATCAAGGGTTTTAAACTCTGGAGCTAAGATGCCCTAGCTCTGGGTCTCAGGGACAAGGGAGGATGGCTTTGAGTGGTCCAAGGCTCCTGGCTAATGGAGGAATGCTGACCAGATTATCCACATGCTGCCAGAGCTGGGTTAGCACAGGTCCACACATTAGGCTTACTTGGAAGCTGGTGTATAGAGGAGACTGGCAATCCTTCAAATGACAATTTCTTGTCTATTATTAAACGGCAACAGTTTTGGCTACGATATTGAGCTGCCCATACAAAAACGACATTTCCCAGACTTCCTTGAAGCTAGGTACTGCCATGTGACAAAGTCCAGAGGGGTGTCAGAGAAAGTAGAAAATATGCAGCTTCTGAACTGTGTACTCTACTTCTGAACCATTTGTGAGCCGTAGTGAATAGGTGGATGAAGGCAACATGAGAAAGACACAGTGACAAGACCTTGGCTGTAAATAGTTGCCATATCAGCTCTGAATATACAGATGGATTGTTTTATGCAAATGAAACAAATATCTAGATCATTTGAGTTATGTTACTAGGGTATATGTATGCACCTGTGTCAAGGGAAAAGTTTTTGTTTTAGCATCTGAACTTTTCATTTGATTCTCCAGTGTTAATGGGGATCCTTCCATGCTCTTGACTACAACAGGTTAGAATTAAACTCAGGGCTGGCCAAAACTTGTGTTGTTATTATGTGAGAAAATACCATCAGTGCTTTTTCAAGGCAACTAAGCAGAGAATATGAAACTTCAGTGTCTCAAGACCTCACTGCCACCTGGCAAAAACTGCTAGGAGAAGCCCAGCCATGGGCAGTGAACTCCTCTCTTGTGGGACTTGGAATACGTTCTAATGCAGATAATAATTAAACAGGACCGGCAATTTAGTTCAGTGGTGGTGCTGCCTGCCTCGCCAGCACAAGGTCCTGAGTTTGATCTCAGGTACTACAAAAAAAGGGGGAACAACTCGCAGTTGTGTGGGGAACAATAAATGAAAAAATATATACAAAGAGGCTTTGGAAAGCAAGATGAAAAGTACTACTGATACAAGGTCAAGTTTTTCTTCCTCTGGCTCAGAAATGAGGCCATGTGAGGGATGGAGAGGACACAGGTACTGCCTGGGCTCAAGTCCTGGCCCCACCATTTACCCTGGTAGCCCTAGACTCACCACCTCACCTTTCTGATACCTCTCCTGTACAACAAAAGCAATAAAGTCCCTCAAAGCTTGTTATGAGTCAGTGAAACTCACGAGATGATTCTTGGCACAGAGTAGGTGCTTTCCCAGCATGACATAGGAGAACAAACTCAATCTAGGGAAGGGAAGGGAAGCAGTACATAGACTCACATTCTGCATCTTGCTGGCTGAATGGTGTGGGCCAAGTAATCCCGGGGCTTTAAGCCTCTATATTTATCTATACTATGGTAGACAACAGGGCTGATGCAAGGAAGAGGGACAACATGTAAGAATCTCTGCATGCCCAGCCTGGCATGCAGTAGGTCGTCAGCCATCAGCAGACTGGGTAGGTGTCACTTACTCTGCTTAATGTCGCCCTCGTGCAATGGGCGGCCTTCAAACCGGCTGTCCCTCTGGTTGTTGAGCAGCTCCTTCTCCCTGCCCACTGCATTCTGCTGCCGGGCAACACCATCCAGGTCAAGGGCGCCTGAGTGGGCAGATAAGCCAGGGCCCAGCTTCGGGGGTAAGGGCTCCCCACTGCTTTTCTTTAGGTAGGAGGCAGGGGCCCAGCCTTCTTTACCCTGGTACCTGGGAAGAGGAAGGATGCTGGTCACAGTGGTCGGCTAGGTGCATGGAGGAAAGCACGCTTCTACTGAGAATCCTACTTCAGCACCCAGACAACAGCGACAATGGGGCCCAAGTGCCCAGAACAGAGTCTGGTACACTGCTCGCTACCTTCCGATGATGGCTAAGTCCCTCGCTTGGCATTCTAGGCCAAAACAAGATGATACTTGGTGGTGGCCATCATGTCTACCAGTTAGAATGTGAGGCCATCACATCTCTGTGCTAGTGGCCTTGGTGCCAGGGAGTTGAATGAAGAAATCAAAGTCTAAGTGGACAAGGTGCCAATGGTGTGGCACAGAGTGGGTGGGTGCCGTCACCTTAGAGTCACTGTGGTGATGATGACAGCAGTAATGACAATGGAAACCAGCACCTGGGGGGCACACACTCTGTTGCTCCTGTCTGAGGCATTTCACAGATATTGATGTTCACTCAGCCAATCCTGAGAGGGAGGCCTGTAGTGTGAGCAATCCTAATCTGAAAATCTGAAATCCAAAATGCTCCAAAACCTGAACATTTGTGAGCAACAAAATCATGACACAAATGGAAAACTCCACACCTGACCTTACATGACAGGATGTACTCAAAACACAGGTGTATTAAAAATATCATGTAAGGGCTGGGGATTTAGCTCAGTGGGTCTGCTGCCTGCCTCGCAAGCACAAGGCACAAGGTCCCAAGTTCAATCCCTGGTACACACACACACACACACACACACACACACGGTGTAAAATTATTGTAGCCTATAAGGCGTATATTAAAAAACTTTTAAAAATGAATTTTGTGTTTAGCTTGGGTTCCACCCCCAAGATTTCTTCTTATGTATAAGCAAATATTAAAAAATTTATAAACATCCAAAATCTAAAACGCTCCTGGTTTCAAGCACTTTGGATGAGGGACCCTTAACCCTTACAGTGATCTATTTGAAAGATAAGAGGACGAGACATAGAGATGTCAAGTACCCTGTCCAAGATTACAAGCAAATCTGTGGCATAACAGATTCAGACCTAGTGATCCTGTGTTTGCTGCCTTATCCTAATAGCTCCAGCTCCTGGTGCAAAGCTTGGCACTGGCAGTGCCGGTTAATATAGAGATTAAACACTCATCACACGGTAATGAAGCAGGTCCAGGGTTGGCTGTCACCGAACTGTAGAATGACTAGGATGCAGACAGACCAGCTCACCATCCTCCCAAAGGGGAATTCAGTGAGTATAACCATCCCTTAATTCTCTGTTCAACAGAACTCAGAGGGGTCTGGACCAGAGAGGTGTGCTGGAGCTAACCTCCACCAGCTGGTGACAGCCAACAGTGCACATCTTCTGAACTCTGCATTAAGTGACACCATACTGATAGCTTGAAACCATCTGTGGTGGAAGTGTTTAGAGTCTAAAAGTTGGCAAAGACCACAAGTCACAACATTCTCCTCACTGAAAGTCAGTTGTTAAACATTTGCCAGCACTCCACAAAACAGGTGCTCACATCTTTGGGGAAAGTTGAACAGACCCAACTGACTGGAGACAGTACATGGCAGGGCCAAATCTCTTGTTGAGCATCACTTTAAGTACTGAATAGCCCTGAGTTTCAATGGAAAATAGGTCCTTAACAACTGGAGGCAAATTTCTAAGGTAGAAAGCTATATATTTTAGTGTCTACCAACCTTCAATAGCCTCCATAAGGGACTAAATCTTGTCCTAACTGGAAAATGTCAGGCTCCATACTATCCACAAACTCAGTATGAGACAGGTCACTGTCTAGAACACAGTGGACCGTGGGTGGGTTCTGGGTGAAAAATGTATGGGTTCAACTTTCCGACTTCCACTGAACTTTCACCTGAGTGCAGCCAACACTGACACCCTGACCACAACATCATGAGAAACCCTGAGTCCAACCAATCCACCTGAACTCCAGAGCTGCTAAGTTCTGGAATTTGTTATGCAGCAAGATAACGTAACACTCATGTGTCACTTAACAGTGGGATGCTTTCCGGAGATGCACTGTTAGGCAACTGCATCACTCTGCAAACAGCAGAGTGCGCTTACACAAACCTAGATGGTGTAGCTTGCTATGTGCATCTAGCTGTGTGTAACCCGCACATATACATATACATACACACGAGCACATATAGTACAAACACAATTAAATAAACCATATGGTAAAATAACAGAATCAAGAAGTGTAAATGCTGGATATGTGAGGTTGCTGCCAACAAGAGAGGATACACTGTTTTACAGTAAACTTTTTTGGGGCTGGGTGTTTGAACCCAAGTCTTCTGCGTTGGGCTACATCCCCCAATCCATTATTATTACAAAAAAGGATCATGTTAAAATTGCTAAATTGCTGGGCCAGAGATTTAGCTCAGTGGTACTGCGCCTGCCTTGCAAGCACAAGGTCCTGAGTTTGATCCCGGGTATAAAAAAAGAACGCAAAGTTGCACAGGCTGGGCTCAAACTTGCATTCCTCCTGCCTCAGGCTCCTAGAGTGCTGGAATTACAGGCATGTGCCATCATGCCTGGCTTATACTACTCTTATACGAGTGGCAGCAAAGTAGGTTTGTTCATACTAGCATTACTGCAAGCATATGCACAATGTGCAGCACACAAGAGCCATGCTGTCACTAGGGGGAAGGGATTTTCCAACTTCTTACGGGAGCACCACGGCACATGTGGCCTGTCTTTGCGTGCAGGGGCATGACTGGCACATGACTGTATGTGCTCAATACACGTTCACTATCATGGTTATCATTCCTTTAAATTTTTTCTGACCCCCAGACTGAGAGCTCCTCTTTGTGCACCCCAAGTCCCCCGGGCATCTCTCCAAAACACCACCCCTCTCCCTACTCTACTCTGTAGTTTTTGTGAGTTGGCTTTGGCACGTGTGGGTGTGAATTGCTGTGCCTCGCTCACTGCTTCGTCACATAGGTGAAATGAGCAGCCTCAGGATGGTGTGTAAGAGTCACACTGGTCTTTGATAAGGTTGGAGTGGATGATTACTCAACAGGGCGGCTTCAACCTCGAGTCACTCACCCCAAGACACATCTGGAGGTGGAAACCAGTCTTGCTTAACAGGGTTCCTGCTGTCTGTGGTACGGCGGTTTTGGAGAAGGTTTTGCTTATTATGGACTTTTAGAGAGCTACGGGTAGGAAGGGAGGCCAAACAACACAGAGGAGAAGCATCTTATGGCACAGGCAGAGAAACCCCATCCATCTGCTGTCCCTTACAGGCCTTTGTGAAGCTGGAGCCCTGAAAGACTGAAACCCATGCAGCCACAGCTGTCAGGAGGCTGCGCCGATTACCTGATCTTCCACCAGCCTTCCAGGTTTTTCTGGATGACCTCCACCATGGCCCCTCTCTCCAGGTTCATCTCATCCTGGTCACGAGCCGTGTAAGGATAGATGACTGTGTACTTCTCCTCTGCAGGGACAGAGGGTGCTGGGATAAGAAACTTACGCGAAGAGTCCCGGATGCTCGCTGTGATCTGTGTGACGATGTGGAGGGATAATCTGCTCCAGAGATTCTCGTGAACCCCACCCCATGGTCCTCATGTAGCTCCGGATCACCTCGTGTGAGCAGCAAGGGAATACTGGAGAAAGAGCAGTCACAGCACCTCCGAAACCCCTCGCATCACATCACCCCCACTTCTCTCAAGTTGTGCTTCAATTGTGCTGCCCTGGACCACCTTATGCAGTAGTCTGACTCATGGCACCCTTGTCTCCCTTACTCAGGTTAAATACCTCCCCACTTGTCACAGGAACCACCTTTTTTTTTTGGTACCAGGGATTGAACTCAGGACCTTGTGCTTGCAAGGAAGGTGGGGTGCCACTGAGCTAAATCCCTGGCCCAGCTGTCTTTAATTACTGATAATGCTCAGCCCCAAGAACTACCTTCTAACACATTTCCTTGTTTATTGTGTTTCATGCCTGTTTCTTCTGGTAGAATATGAGCTCAATGAAAATAGGAATTTGTCCGTCCCTTTCATTCCTCTATGTCCAGCACTGGACATGTGCCTGGAAGATTTAGTAACTGGAGAACTAGTCTCTGTTCAGTAAAGGAAAAAGTCCTGAGGGCCAGGTGGGAGCCACCTTGCTCACAGAGGTTAAACTCTCAGGGGTTCCTTGCCAATTTTCTCTGGCAGTGCCGGAGTTCAGAGATAAGTTGACTATTGGCAGTGGATGATTTCTAGCTGAGATCATCACCAAGGAGACAGCAGCAATTCTCAATGCCTAGCTGGCAACTGATCTTCACTTTTCATTAATAACACCCAAGCCCTTGGATTTAGACCAGCTTGAGGCTTCAATTTTCATTCACTTGAGTGGGGTGCCTCCTACCCCACTCCCTGTCACCCCCTGGTCCGGAAACCATGGGGCTATCCCTATGGCTCCTTGTACCTCTCTGTTACATCCCTCCCATAGCAGCTGCTGAGGCAGAGGGATCATGGGGCTCATGGCCACTCTAGAAAGGGAACAGCTCCTATCCTCAATGGCCTCAGCTTGGCTGCTGAGCTGGAGAAAATAGATGCAAGGAGAAAATTAGATCGAAGGATCCCTGCAAGGAGAGGAGGGGGCTGACCTGCTTTGGTTCAATTTCAGCTCCTGGGTCAGTTCAAGCCAGCTGAGGCCTGGCGCCCACAGTTAGTATGTGGTGCAGAAAAGACTCTGGGCAAATGCTACAGGCAGCCCATGGCTTGCCAGCTGCTACACAGGGAGGCGGAAGCACACAGGGCGTTTGTTTATTTATTGATCTGGCCTGCTGACCTGCTCAGTGGGGGTGATGCTGACTCGTGGCACATATCCTGGTTCAGTGGAGCCAGCTCTTCCCTTTTTCACAGAAGCTGTGGGCTGGGCTGTGATCTGTGAAAGGGGTAATTCAATCCTGTGGAGGTACACAAGTTGTTTGGAAGGGGCACTGCTTGGACATCAGTCTAGGTACAGCCAGTCCTACAGGCCCTGGATTCCTGCATCCCCAGGCATTCTCTAGTACCCAACAGGCTCACTCTGGGATCTAAGTGCTGCTCAGTGATCCCAACAAAGTTTAGGAAGACCTTGCAGAATGCATCATGGGCACCTGCCTACCCACGAGCGGTCTTATCAGCCTCCATCCATGTGGTTAGGGGAGGCTGAGTCCTCCTTTCCAGAGGGAGGGGGCTGGAGTATTATTTTGGCCTGGCCACAGTGCTTCAAATCCTGGCCACTATGACTGGTTCAGGGATGGCATGGCACCTGGCTGGGTCAGTCAGAACCAATCCTGGGGCTTGAGTTTTAGACGTTGTTTCTTTGGTGGATGTCCATGAAAAGTGCCTGGGAACTGCTGTCCCTAGAGATAATGGTGCCAACAAAGCAGGAAGTGGAACAGAGAGGTGTGAGAGAGGACCTGATGACACCCTCATACCCGAGGATGCAGCCAGCCATGCTTGCAGCTGGCCCTGCCTTGGTCTTTTCAGTGATATGAGTCAATGTACCTCCTCTTCTGCATTACCTGGTTGAGGGAGGCTTCTCCCCCTTAGAACTCAGCAAGCCTGATGGAAGGACAAGGCTGCTCGTTCTGCACTACAGAAGACCACACGCACCTTTTTAAAGCAGGGAAGTTTCAGAGCCCTAAGGCTGACAAACACCGTGGGTATGCTCCTCCCCAGCCCTCATGCCAGCACACACGCAGTACCAACAAGTCACTGTGTCTCACATGCAGCAGGCAAGGAAGTCCCAGAGGAGGAGGCTCATGCAGATGCAGGGACCCGCTCTGTACACCAAATGCAAAGTGAACTCTGAGGAAGGCACCTTGGCGCCAGCTGATGCCGTACAAGTCCCCCAGAGTCCGGCGGCGACCCGCAGGCCGGGGCAAAGACCAGTACCTCCATGAGACTGGATGGGCAGCATGTGGAAGGGAGGGCAGAAGGTACAGGTGAGAAGGGAGCACTCCCAGGGGACTCCCTTGAGACACTGCTCCCCTTAGAAGATCATTCCTTCTGAGTCTATTCTGAGTCTAACCTTGAATTTGAATCAAGAGGCATCCAACAGATATAACTGTATTCTTTGCGTGATTATAAAGAGGCACTAGAAAAACCCTCATAGTAGAGGGTAGAAAGATGTCCAAACCCTTAAGAAAAGGTGGTTCCTCTCCCCACTTCCAGCTGTGACACTGGGCAAATCGCTGTACTTTTCTGAGCCTATTTTGGATAAATGGGGATAATAACCATTCCCTCACAGAGCACACCCATGGTGGTCATCACGCACTGACTGTAATAGAGCCATTCCCATGTTGTACACCACCTGCCTCTGATCTGAGCTACTTCTTATGGCAACCCCATCAGCCTGGCCCTCAAGACAGCAAACCAACTCTGCAACACAACTATATGCAAAATCACTTTTTTTTTTTTTGCTAATCCTTGCATTTAGAAAGGTCCCTATTTATTTGTTTTTGTTTTTTGAGACAGGATCCTGCAATGTAGTCCAGGCTGGTTTTGAATTTGCTGTGCAGCCCAGGCTGACCTTGAACTCTTTAATCCTCTTGACTCTTAACTCCCAAGTGCGGGGATTATAGGAGTGTTACCACCATGCCCAGCTCTTACCCTTTTTTGGATACATATGAATTTAAAGTGGCTTTGTGCTTTAAAGGTCTGCTATAAGACAACACTCAGCCCCAGGTAAACTGTAGCTTATCTGATGACTGTAATTGTTCACTATTCTAAGTTCTTTGCATATAGAAATTCATTTAAGTTTTTAAAACTCACATGATACAGATACCATCATTTCCATTCTCAGGCAAGGAGGCTGTAGCTCAGGAGACAATGTTACTGGCCCAAGATCATTTAGTCAGAATGTGGCATAGCTGAGATTCAAATTCAGGTCTATCTGACTCCAAAATGCTTGTCTGCTAATGAAGGTGGACACATGCTTTGGTTTCAGGAAGCTTCTAAGGGGAAAGGGAGTGGGTGAGTGTTGGTGCTGCTGCCATGGCAGGCATCACCATCCAGGACAGGGCCATGTATACCAACAGAGAGCAGACATAAATACATGGGGTCAAAGGTCTTGCACATTATCCAGCAGTTCTACTATCTTGGCCACCAGAAAAATTCTAGGGAGGAACAGTGATTAGGCTGAGGCATTCCTGGCGTCCTAAGGAGGTGTCAGAAGAACAACTATGACCAGGCTCATCTTGGGTGGCTCCCAAAGGCCCCAAAGAAAGGGGGGCTTGCCCTTCACCCTAACCTGAAGTCCTAGCTTCATTTTCATCATTTGGGAGCCAGTGACACTGATGCCCAGAGGCAGAGGCTAAAAGAAAGGGACTAAGCAAGGAAGCAATGCAATATAGCCTGGAGGCTCCCACGAAGGCAGGGGTGGGAGTTCCTGCCTACCTTCTTCAGGCTGTAGAGAAAACTCATCCTGCACACCGTCCTGCCCCTCAAGGCAGGTCGCAGGGACCCAGCCTTGCTCCTCTGCGGTGCTGACGAACCACCAACCTGGGGAAGTGAGAATGTAGAGTGATGTTAGTAGGGCAAACGGTCAGAGTATAAAATATAGGTATTCCTCAGTACCCAGGGAATGGTCCCAGAACCCCTGTGGGAAGCAAAATCTGCAGATGCTCATAAAAAGTGGTATAGTGTTTGCATATAACCTATACATATCCTCCCATAGACTTTAAATCATCTCTATTTGACTTATAATACCTAATACAATGTGAATACTGTGTAAACAGTTGTGCTTTATTGTTTAGGGAATAATGGCAAGGAAAAAATCTGTACATGTTTAGTACAGTTTCAATTTTTTTCTTATTTTCTATCCAGGGTTAGTTAAATCCGAGGATATAGAATCCACAGATACAGAAAGCCAAATGTATATTCAGTACTCTATCAGTTAATACTTAGGGTAAGGTTAAAGGGTTACCATTTTATGGGTAGAACACAATTATCAATGTTAGCTATCAACTATTAAGAAAAGACCAAGGGCCTGGGATTTAGTTCAGCGGCACCACACCAACTTCACAAGCACAAGGTCCTGAGTTCGATCCCTGGTACAAAAAAAAAAAAA